TAATATAAATCCTGTTGCAATTCGCTTGGCTTTAAGGAACCCAGAGAGAAATTGTTATAATATTTGTTGCAACTTGAAGAAAGCAAAGATACATTCCACCACATTCTCTTTCCCCATGTAGTAAAAACAAAATAAAACGTTGTGTTTATATTCTTAAAGATATTATTTTCAGATATTTATGAATAGTTTTCAAGCTGAAACAAAGTTGGGATTGTCAAAAAATAATAGTATTATTATTCATTTCGTATTTATATTCAACTGTGGAAAAAACAGCCAACAGAAAATCAACGAACAATTAAGAAAGCTCTTCTTTCGTAACTTAAACTTTGAAAGGGAGAGAAAAGTCATTAGGATGAGGTTCAGCTTTAAATATTGTTACGTATATGTGATAAAATTGCTTGTTTGTAAGGTTTAAAATTATTTTTATTTCATTTTTATTCATTGCATTTAATTGCAATGAATACTTTTAGAGTCTGGATTGGATTCTTTTTCAGTAATGAGATATATTTTTATAACAAAGTCTGTTTAATCAAGACGAAGGTGTATTACGTGAAAATTATCATTTAGTCCGTACTATCATGGTAACAGTATCAACAGGAAGTTAAAATGATTGGTCAGTATCAGGGGCATACTTTCTTTGCGTGATTATTGTGTGTAAAGAGTTTTTTATGATTGGTTCTTAAGTGCGGACAAATTTGTCTACGTGATCAAAATAGTGTAGTAAGAGACCACATGACCAATCTCGCGAAACTTGAAATGAGGCATTGAAGTTTATTCTAACACCTTTAAGGAACAAGTTGTATTATTTATATTTTGTTTCCAGGATTGTTTGTTCTTTGTCTGATTTTTGGATTTAATAATTTATTCCCCAGGAAACTCAACAATTTAAAGTTTTCTATAAAAAAAGCAATTCTGAAAGACATTCATGGAAGTTTTTTTTGGAATGATTCGAAAACAAAGATCATTATTCAATTGAGGAATTGTTGATATTCACACATTGGACTACAGCTGACGTAATCGTCTTCCATATTTGTACGTCGTCGGGACTCGAACCTGGATACTTATATGACTATTTATTAATGGGACTTGTGTTTTCATTCTTAGGATCAAATTTTGGATTACATTTACAAACTTTAAGTCCTATTTACCAATTTTTACATTATTGCTCTTTGTTACTGAGTACGAGCCCTTGTCACGTAACAATATATTTCAAATAGAATCCGAACATGTTTAATTATTTTATTTATGTTTCAACTTAGATGGAAGTCCCAGGTCAAGCGTTTACGATAATGCACACTTTCATGTCGGCATTTCCTATTCATATTCATTATTGTATGCCGCTTTAATTTTTTTTAATTACTTCTAATCTTATAAGTAATCCGTTTCTTTGAACTGCCTATATTATATAAGACATTAAAATTCTAACTGCTAAATGGAAAGTTATATTGTCTTGGAACACAAAATCATCCTGTGAGCATTTATGTCGGCATGAAAGTGTCTTCGGGTTTTCAGTGTCCACGGCTCTGGCATAAAGAATGAAATTCATTTGCAATTGGCATTCTACATCTTTTTTCTTTCTTTAAAATATATTACACTCCTGTACAAATTGATGAACGTAAAGACACATAAAAATATAAGGATGAAACTTTGCTTGTTGTCACTGTAATGATTAATTACCAGTCAAATTTTTTTGCACTGATTTCTTTATAGTTTCATGCACACTGGTTGTAAACAGAAGATAAGTGGCGAATTCGATCGATGAGGAGAGAATTAAAATTAAGACATTTTGTTTCCGTGATCATGGTAAGCCAGAAAATGGTCATTTTAGAAAACACGCTTTGACTGGAATCAGATTATTCAATTTCAATGCCTGAATGGTGAACAAAAGCTTCTTGGCACAAAATCGTCGTCAATAAAGGTGTAGCTTTTCAATAACAAATTGTCAACGCATCTGTGTTGCCTGTAATTGGCCATTGCTTGAAAGCTGAGGCAAACAACCAACCGGTGAACTCGACATTGCTTTGAGCTGCTGTAATCAGATCCTAATAATGACAAAGAGCGGCGGCTGCTGTAAAGTTATTGGCTAATTCTATACCTTCCACATTACGATTCAAGAGTAGGACCAAATTGTTGTATAAATAAACCGATTACCGTGAAGAATAGGGGTTGATTACGTTCCGTACGCTAAATTTAATTGTACAATTCGTCAGACACGCGCAGGTGGGCGAGAAGTATTCGTGTATATAGCCAAGTACTCATTAAGCTAGCCAAGTAGCAAAGGAGTGCAACGAGGATTCAAAACATCAAATTTGCGACAAAACAGTGTTCGAAACAAGTTCAAGTAAAGGTGGGTAACTTACACACAAATAACATTTGCGCAGTATTTATACATTTTTCATCCGGCTCAAAATTCATTAGTGAATTGTTCGGTCACATTTGTACGTACGGTAAGGGGATAATGTCTAACTAAGCGAAGATTATTAGATACATCAGAATAATATATGTAGAAAGGTTTTGTTTACTTCCGTATGTCATCAGATTCTTTGCGCTATATTTACATACAACTAAAACAAGCAATACGTACCAAACAAGTTTCTAGAAATTCAAAGCTCAGTTTGCGTTACAGAGGATTGCTTACATTTATTTTTCACGAGATTGAAAAAGGTGGAATTCAAAGGAAAATACCATATAAAGTCTATCGTGGCATTAGTAATGACGCGATACAGTTATTAACTGGTGCTTTGGAACCTTTTTTGCAGGATTTGTTCAAATGATTTTTAACAGTATATTTGTATAGGAAGAAATTCCTTGGAATATAGGAATTCTTGCTAAGGAATGATTAACTTGTTTTGAAGTAAAGCAAACGGGCTGTCTCTTCTAATGCTAGGAAACCTCAGAAGGGCTTAATTTTTTCACATTACCAACTTAAAAATAGCTTTTATTTGTATTGCTTATTTATAACATTTATTCGACTTATTTCAAGCAAGATCAAAAATCAATAATGTACAATACAAGAACTTTAAACAGAAAAAAAAACGTTACTTTTCAATGCAGTACCCATTGAGGGCTTGATAATTTTGTATTGATTGATTTTTGATTTACAGGTACATGTCGACATACAATTTTGAGTATTTGTAATTTTCGAGGGGGGGGTTGAAGACCAAGTTTCGTTCTCTTTCACCACACATCAAATTACATATATGTAAAGTTATGCATTGAGCATATTATGTCTCCTTTCTATCGAGATGGCTTGACGGCTTACTTTCGAGACGGCTTACTTTCTAGACGGTGTACTTTCGAGAAGTGAACAACTTATTTTCGAGACAGTTTGCTTTTAAAATCGGATCGACGTTTTTCCGAGACGGCTTACGTTCGAGAACCAGGCGGCTTATTTCGAAACGGGTTTTTTTTAAATAAATGGCTCACATTCGAGATTCTGACGAATTATTTTCGAGGTAAGTTTACTTTCAAGGTCGCTTTCATTTGATTTTTAAAGGGCATAATTATTGTACTATAGAGCCAACTTATATTGATACCTACATATTTTTGGTGTAAATGGAAATGCCTATTATTTGCTTGTATTTTACAGTTATACACAAATCGTTCAGCGTTTAATGGTGAAACTAAATTCATTCTTGTAACGTTTCGAGGGTAAAATGTATCTCATATTTTGAAAAGTAGAATTCCAATTTTATTTTACACGTGATAAAAAGAAATTACGTGGATTGTGTGATTTATTATAGCGTGTTCTTCATTTGCCATATCTTTAGTAAAATCGTGGATGGACGAGACTCGATGTACAAAATTTGAATAATGACTTCATTTTTCTAAATAGAAATGAGATGTATATGCGAAATTATCATATTTACCTTGTTGATGTGATTGTTGTCTAGTAAAGGTTACCGTCCGTACTCGTTGATAAGTCGAGTCCAGCAAACAGTATTAAAAAAACCCTGCTTTGCCGGCGTCAGCAGACTAAGGTCTATATTGTTTGTTCTATGTTTGTGAAATTTTCAGTTGCAGGAATTGTAGTTTTGCTGTGGCCGATTACATCCATGCATATGAAACATTTTCCTAACAACCATATGATGTTCTTCCACACTTCAATCCTATTTTCTTCTCCAGCATTTTGTGATTCGAAGTTCCATTTCAACACATTCCATTTACATATTGAATGTTTGTGTCTCTGTTTTCCATTACATATTGAATATTTGTATCTATTTTTGTTTTCTGGACACGTGTTAGAGACGATCTACATAATACTGCGTACCGAATGTGCGACATACTGAGATTCGGACCAGTTCAAAATGTATGGTTCCAAACATATATAAACTAGTGTAATATCTGCACCTAGCGTTAATATTACCCTTCACTGCATTGATAAGTTACGAGTTCCTATCGTATTTGTTTTCCAAGAGTATTATCGATTATCTTCGATATCATAGTACTAATAGGGTACTTTTAACTTTGGTTGACCTTTGTGACCTACACGTTACTATCAGTGATACTGTATTTGAATATGCTATTCTCCTTTTTATTTCCTTTCTAGATTTCTGTAAAATATGCCTAAATGCCACCTTTAGAGCAAACTCAAATTTTATTTAAATTATCTTTTTTTTAGAAACCGAGATCAAGAATAAAATACTGGATCGCTCATTTTCAAATAAATGGTACACAAAATACGTGGCATGACAATGCTCAGATCCCTGCGCTTAAAGTTGCATATTCCAATCCACACATTTCCCCGCCTCCAGAGTGACGTGATGTGATTATGATTTTTAACGTAGCTTTAACAATTTTTCAGTCTTATCGCTACGATGTCTGCAGTGTGGCACTTTTTAGTGATGTCTAGCACTCAGGCATCATGCCGCAGATATGTAGCATGATGTCCCACCCAGTCACATTATACTGACACCATGCCGACCAGTCCTAACACTAACCTCTTAATGCTGAGCGATAAGCGAATTAGCTGTTAGCACCAATTTTGTAAGTCTTTGCTATGACTCGACCGAGGATAGAACCCATAACATCCCGCATCCGAGGCGGACGCTATAACCACTAGGCCACCGGAGCGGTCCCGTCTCCAGAGAGTGGCCCATGAGATCATAATGCAAACTCCGCCCCATACATGATAAGTCACTGCAATTGGTATTTGATCCCTCTCAGAAAGTCAATTTCCTCTTGCACCGAGAGGAGAACTGTTAGACAGACGGAAGCATCGCAGAGCATATATAAATTATTGTTATTATAATGGATGAGCGATGAAATTGTAGAAATAATTCTGAATGTTTAAAAAATATCAGAAAGGGAGTTGTTTTCAAAGTGAGGGGTAATACATATTTGTCAAATAGGTTCAGTAATAAAAAGTTGGTAAAAGCAGATCTTAAACTTAACCTGGAACGTACGCAGGTGTCGTGATCAAAACAATCGTTACAACTAAAAGCTGGCCAAAATATCTGATCGCCTCACCTGCAAATTCTAGTCTTTCAGTCCAAATGTACTTTCGCAGTTTCTTACACACACACACACACACACACACACACACATATATATATATATATTTATATATATATATATATATATATATATATATATATATATATATATATATATATATATATATATTGAGAGAGAGAGAGAGAGAGAGAGAGAGAGAGAGAGAGAGAGAGAGAGAGAGAGAGAGAGAGAGAGAGAGAGAGAGAGTCTTTGTACACCTGATTACTACAGTTGGATGCTTCATACAGAAAAATATGACCAAAAATTAAAATTGGCCTCCAACGTTTTATAAAGCGACATGCTTCTTTTTCAACTCTTGCTCACCGTAAAAGTTCTAAATATCTTCACACCATGCACAATTCTGATTTCTGCCACTATTCTGATTTTCTCTCTCCTCGATTAAAAATTGCAGACAGGTTTTAACTGCTTTCGTATTTATCTATCTTAGTTGCAGTTTTTAGTAATTTGATAAATTCTTGGATTCCATGTTCTGATCTTGTCAAGACAATATGGGATTTTGATGCCGTTCTCTGATCTTGGCGAGACTAAATGGGGCTTGAACGTTAGGGAGTGCACCAAAAATATCATAAACTACAGAGAGACGGACAGTGATAAGGTGAACTTGCCTGCTTTTGCAAAATGCACAGTGGAGACAATATTAGCATAGGTTCATATTATTTTCATGTACTGTAGCTGAAATTTCTTTGGATATTGTTTATGGAAATTGTACATTATCTTAACATAGTATCTTTAACAGTTATTAAATAGGGAAAACGAATTTTGACAAACTGGACAATACCATCTTCTGAAAGTGCAATAAAAAATTTACCGAACACATAAATAGTTTTTAAAAAAAATTGTTGGCACTTTTTGAGCAATTTAATTCTGAAGTCCAGGAAGTGAAAATTACCCAGCGGAACTAGCAGTATTTTTATATATGCACATCTGTATCAAGGACTGCTCTATAACCCATATTACACCAATCAATTAAACACCAACATAAAGGAAATTAACCCATATTACACCAATCAAGTATACACCAAAAAAAGGAAATTAACCCATATTACACCAATCAATTATACACCAAAATAAAGGAAATAAAAAGCTATTTTAACATAAGTTTGGAAGATTTCTTTTAACATGGCTAGCATAACCAGTGAGGGAAAATGTGGAAATTCGTTTGGTTTGATTTTATTTTTATAAAAACCAAAACAACCCTAAGTAAAATACAAAACTTGACGCGACTAAACAGAACCATCATCAGATCTTGACGAGACTAAACGATAGTTGGAGGCTATCATTTGATCCTACGAGACTAAACGGGACTTGGCTGAGATCATCTGTTCTTGATAAGACGTAAGGGGAGTTGGATACTATCATCTGTTCTTGATAAGACGTAAGGGGAGTTGGATACTATCAACTGTTCTTGACGAATGTCTAAATGTGTTCTTTCATGAGATCTTTATAATGATTCTTAGAATGACAGTAATAATAACATCTTAGATCAGTAGTGAAAATGTCTAAACGGAGCAAAAAATCTATCTATCAACACTCTGTATTATACAATACTACTATAATTACATTTAATCAGACTTCAACGAAATCGTAAACTACCATTGTGCACCAAGTTTTTCATTTAGTCGTCTTAAAGAATTTTCAAGATCTCCTCAAAAGATTGTTCTATAATTTCCTTTTTTATTAGTTATAAGAAAATGAATTATTTAGGTTTATTAGTTTGGGATTTCTCGAACAGTGAAACTGTGAAAGGTTTAAGTTTTCTAAGAAACCAAACGTCTCATATTAGTATATATTCTTGGGAATGACTCCTATTTGTGTAACATATGATTCATGATTAGATGGTCTTTCTCACCATTAATATTTACTTGCTTCTTCCAGTGAGGCATAAGAACTATACCCGATTTCAGCAATTTGTCTTTTGTCGATCGTTTCTAATAACCATACTCTGTCCGGTTCCGTTCTTTATAGTTTTCCTTGTTCCAGTTTTACTCGTGTTCTTCGATAGTCTTTTGCAAATCTTAAGGCTCCATGAATACATTTCATTGCTCGTGCTGGCGTCTTTTGAACTCTTATACCTATAAATTTCGGGTGGTCTTAAATTCGATAATTCACGTGATAAATAGTCGCGCGTAATGCGATTAAACATGATAGGCACCGACTTGACCACGACTTAAGTTATGGAGCTGCTGCGATATTTGATGTTTATTAATTCAGCAAAAGACAAAAACCATTTTGGATTATTTTAACTTCTGGCAAGCATTGAAGTTTTAGATGATGAGTTTTTATTGATTGAATTATGTGGTAACTGACTAATCAGTAACACACACACACAAACACACACACACACACACACACACACACACACACATATATATATATATATATATATATATATATATATATATATATATATATATATAAAGAGAGAGAGACAGAGACAGAGTTTATTTTAAGTTTTAAAAATATTCTCATTCACCGATTTGTGATTTAAATTTGTGCAATGCTATTATGTCCGTAATAATGTTTCCTTCAGGCAATATTGGCAATATCAGAGTGACAGTCTGATACAATATTATGTCTTTTCCCTATCCAAGAAAAACCCTTCGAGGTGTCATAGAAATGTATATGGAGACCTTACAACCAATCCTTATCATTACGTTATTAAAATCTTGACTCTTACTCTTCATCTCGATTACGTCTGCAGTGCGTGGAAAATGTCATCAATGACCCCGTCAATTATTGTAGCAGACGGGGGTACCTGCCAATTGTGAATCATTCTATTGCATTTATATTCCCAATGTCACCAAAGGGCTTGTTACCAAAGTCTTGCGGACGTTTCTTTTTCAGTTGATTTTTCTCTGCAGAATTTGTGCTAAGAAAGTCTAAGTAAATTAACTTTCAACAGCTGACATCTGAGCAGACATGACTTGTTACAGATCTTGGTCAACCTATTATTGAATTGATATCCTGTACATATATCGTTGTAAATGTCTGACTATTTAAATGCTAGCATCTGGCTTATAATCATCTGCAGATAATACTAGGAGAACTATAGAGGAAATTAAAATCTCCCAACTTTTGAGTACCGTGTGCAATCTCTTTTAAGTCGAGTCATATCGCAAACAACAAAGATCCTGATGCGTCGTATCCTAACGTACCTGCAGATTAGGGACTACCGGTATGCTGTTTGTTCTATTGATAAATCCTTACAAACTGACACAGAACCAGATGTGCCAGATCATTATTAGTAATGTATACGTCACAAAATAGTACAAAAACATAATAGAGAATATGCGAATTTTATGACATGAAGTAGAATTCGCATCCAAATATTTGTCAATTCAAGCTTAACAATAATTCAGTTTGCAAAATCCATACATGTGAGATCTCTATGTTAACATCAGAGAGTATATGCGTATCGACAGCGATAAAGTGAAAATTGTTTTAGGTTTAAACTTACTTGAGTACAATTTAAGTTCCAATAAAGAAAAGTGTCATTATTTTCAGTGAATCTTATCTTCAATAAGTTGTTTAGAATTTCACTACACAAATAATCGTTGTATGCGACATGAAATGGAAAGTTTAATTTAATTATAAGCATTCCTCTGCATGACCATTGCAAAAGAACAACCGTCTCTGAATTACCGTGTTGAAGATATCGAAAACTTTGTTTCAACTCGAAAACAGGCTGCCAAATTAAAACTACGCAAGTCACACCACCCCCACTTCAAAAAAAGTATTCTGGTGCATATGTAGACGAATGGTGTGTAATGTGATGCACACTGCAACAGAACTCCAAACAAAAGAAGGCAATAGGGGATCAATAGTATTGTGCCTAGATGATTTGAAATACTCGAAATGTTTTTATTTTTGAAGCAATTATTCTACGTTATAAAAACTACTAAAAAAAAGTCCGTAGCATCAGTCGGTAGAATCAGAATTTCTTAATTTAAATGGACAATTAAGGCAAATAATGTTAAAAGATCTATAAGTGTACTATAACAAGCTGTGAAAATGGAGGTAAAAGACATTACTTTACAGACTTTGATTATCACCACCCTTCAGAAATCAACCCGTTTCTTTCAAATTAAAATTTATCCAGTTATCATTAGAATAAGATTTTGCAACCAATGGTCAACAACTAATTTGATTCCCATGTAGTTTGAAGTCGGACAACTAGTGCCTGTTATCCAGTCAACTCGTAACTGCTGTCATGTCAGCTGATGACTGGTATCCTGTCAACTAGTAACTTATATCATGTTAACAAGTCACTGATATCTTGTCATCTGGTTGGACCCAGTCTGAACAAGAAATGTATAGTATATTTCCTATACAGACTGCAATGTTGGTGTATTTCAAAGTTACTATACTTCATTGTCAGACCATGCATGATTTTTCCAGAGCAAAGTTATAAAATCAACACAATGATGTGCTGCGCAGTAAATTACAGTACCTTTAAAATACCAACATATAGAATGAGTCAATCAAATATCTCTTTGATACTTTCTATATTTTATATTTAACTGGCAGATTTCCTTGGATGTAGAGAAATGTGGAAAATAA